AAACGAACTCATTTATTATTCGTGTCAAAGTGTATCAACCAATTCATGACACGTTTAATAATTTGACCCTTTAAACTAATTTTCCTGGCATTGAATTAGATGAGATTGAATTGTATTAATTACGATATTGTCATTAATAGATTGACTTAAAAACCACAAGTCATTTCATTTGCGACCCACGTTTCTTATGCAGTAGAGTTTTTTCTTGACACCCCTGAGGTTTAGGTAAAATCCAAAGAGATCCATATAGTTTAATAAACCCATATAATTTAAGTTACTTTACATCATTGGCAAAGATTATTATTGGGCGAATGAATTAATTTTCTTGGCATTGGTTCTAAAAGATAATAATTTTTTTTACCAATAACAAAAGAAAAAAATTGAAACAAATATAGAAAAGGCATTGAAAAAAATTGATTTAAAATAAGGTTTTATTTTTAAAATATAGCATTGTCATGTGTTTGTTTATCACTAGAGTGATAGATTAAAGCAATAGCAGACAATTAATTATCTAGAAAATATATAATTATTTAAAAAAAATTAAATCAAGGGTTATGTCTTATCAACTTAATTTTTTAAGAAAGATACTATCTGGTCCTCATAATCTTTTAAAAACAACCCACTCTGAATTGGATGAGATTGAAATGTATTAAATATAGCATTGTCATTGATAGCTTGACATAAAATCACATTTTGTTTTATTTGCCTGAGTATCTATCCACGTTTCTCACGCACTACAGGTTTTTACTTGACATCCCTAAGGTTTAGGTAACAAACCAAAAAAAAAACCCATGAGTTTCATCATGAAACACTTACACCCTTATAATTGACAGAAATTTTTAAAAATTTAAATTGGATACTACAATGACTTATTACCCTTATTTTGTCTCTTTTGACACAATATGAAGAATTTAATATCTAACATTTGTTACAAGATGAAATATTAAATATATTAAATGATTTAAAAGATACTAAACTTTAACAATTATAACACATTTAGGAAATAGAAACCTTTTTTTTTTTTGGGGCTTGTGTTGTCACTCTATCACAGGACGTAAGTGTTTTCATTATTAAACTACAAACGTGTAAGCGTTTCGTTCTGAAATATGCAGGTCTCCTTGATCTTTCAATAAATCTCAGGGTGTTAGAGAAACTTCTCACACTGCTGTTTTAAGTTATTAACACACACACACACACGATATACATATGATATATATATATATATATATATATATATATATATATATAGATCATTCTTGTCTTTATAGTACAGTACTTGCCGACTAATTAAGCTTGTATTTATTTTCATTTTGTACGTAATATTGAAAGAAATGTCATTGATAGCTTGACTTAAAACCGATTCATTTTTATTTGCTTGACAATCGACCACGTTTCTCACGCAATAGATGTTTTTACTTGACATCCCTGTGGTTTAAGGAAAATCTAAAAAGCCCCACATGTTCAATGAAACACTTACACCCTTAAAAATGAGAGATACCTTGTGAAAAAACAATTCCACACCCACAATGACTAATATATCCTTATTTTTTCTCTTCTTCCTCAATAAGAAGAATTTAATGTCTAACATTTCTATCCTTTGCTTACCCAATATAAATAATGTGTTAAATGGTTAAAAGTACTGAAGTTTGAAAGTTTAAGACAATTGGAAATGAAAAAATTGGTTTTTTTTTTCTTGTGTTGTCATTCTATTACAGGGTGGTAATTGTTTCATTATTAAATTACAAACGTGTAAGCATTTTACTCTGAAACATGTGGGTCTCGTTGATCTTTCAATAAATCTCAGGGGTATCAATAAAACCTCACACAAAATATTAATATTTTAAGTGATTTTTAGATTTTTTTTATTGTAGTACTTATCGAATAATTAATGCTTGTATTTATTTTCATTTTGTATGTAATATTTAAAGAAATGTCATTGATAGCGTGACTTAAAATCGCATTTTTTTTAATTTGCTCGACTATCGATCCACGTTTCTCATGCAATAGAGGTATTTCCTTGACACCCCGGAAGTTTAAGAAAAAAATAAAGAGCCCCACATTTTTCAAAATGAAAATCTTACACCTTTAAAATTGAAATACACTTTAGAATAATGTTTAATGTACTTTATAATAATGTTTAGCATATACCTTGTAATTTTTCTTATAACTGATTATTTTACGTGAACATTTGAAGTGATTGTACTAAATATTACATCAATAGCAAATTGATTCTAAAATAATTAGTTTAATTTTTTTTTAAAGTAAATTCATGTCTTTTTTCTTTTACAATAGTCTATGCCTAAAAGATGATGAAACTACTTTATTATTTATGGAAAGAGAAAAAAATATTTAGGTTAAAATTAAATGATGAGAGGATATATTTTCAAATCCGTTAACAATTTCAAATGTGTTAATATCATTAAAATGTTTCATTTTTGTGGTTAATCTTCAAGTTCCTTTCTCTCTACTAATCGCAAAATTTGTGGACAACTAATTTTTTTGACATTGAATTGGATGAGATTGGATTGTATTAAATATAGCATTGTCATTGATAGCTTGACATAAAATGACATTGTGTTTTATTTGCTTGAGTATCTATCCACGTTTCTCATGCACTAGAGGTTTTTATTTGACAGTCCTGAGGTTTAGGTAACAAACCAAAAAAACCTCAACATGAAACACTTACACCCTTATAATTAACAGAACTTTTTAAAAATTTAATTTGGATTCTACAATGACTTACTACCCTTATTTTGTCTCTTCTGACACAATATGAAGAATTTAATATCTGACATTTATTACCCAGTTTGAAAGTTATAAGACATTTGGGAAATTAAAAAATTGGTTTTTTTTCTTGTGTTGTCATTCTATCACAAGGGTGTGATTGTTTCATTATTAAATTACAAACGTGTAATCATTTCATTCTGAAACATGTGGGTCTCGTTGGTCTTTTAACAAATCTCAGGGGTGTCAATAAAACCTCACACACAATATTAATATTTTAAGTGATTTTTACATATTTTTACCGTCATTCTTGTCTTTATAGTATCAGTACTTATCGAATAAGTAATGCTTGTATTTATTTTCATTTTGTATGTAATATTTAAAGAAATGTTATTGATAGCGTGACTTAAAACCACATTTTTTTTTTTCTAATCTGCTTGACTACCGACCCACGTTTCTCATGCAATAGAGGTATTTTTCTTGACACCCTTGAAGTTTAAGGAAAAAGTAAAGAGCCCCACATATTTCAAAATGAAAATCTTACACCTTTAAAATTGAAATACGCTTTAGACTAATGTTTAGCAAACACCTTGTAATTTTTCTTATAACTGATTATTTTAACATGAAAATTTGAAGTGATTGTACTAAATAATACATCAATAGCAAATTGATTCTAAAATAATTAGTTTCATTTTATTTTTTTAAAGTAAATTCATGTCATTTTTTTTTTTTTACAATAGTCTATGCCTAAAATATGATGAAACTACTTTATTATTTATGGAAAGAGAAAAAATTATTTAGATAAATTAACATTATTATAATTTATTTATTTGCTGTTGAATGTTGGCCTATATATAGAGGTCTATAAATATGTCCGGCTTAACTTTGAAATTTTGTTTCACTCTCCTCCTGTTTGTCTTGAACTCCGTCTACTATTGTTCTCCACGTCCTTCACTTCACATTGAAACCTTTCTTTTAGCTACGAATTGCATATCCCACTCCCCAAAACTAAAACAGGCAAGTCTTTCAACCCATTTTTTTTGTTTTCTATTTGTTTCTTTTGTTGAGTTCTATTTTCTTATTATTTCATTAACCCCATGTATTTCACCTATTGCTACCCATTTGTTTGAAAAATTGGACCCTAACCCCCATTAAGGACGCCATTGTTAATCAACAAATGACACTTGCCTTTTTTAATCCAACCCCCCAACCCTCATTACTCAGAAAGATGACACTTTGACCCTTGTTCAACTCGAACAACCAACCCCATGCGTAGCCGTTGTGATCAGTGGCCCCTCTAGCGGCTTCCTTGAGGCCACTAGAGGCTTTGTCTATTAATTTTTATCTTTAAAGAATTGGGATTGACTAGAGGGTGGTTACTGGGGATCGCCACTGTATTACTTACAAAAGCTCTTATAAAAATTAAGCTTCCTTGTAGGTTTGCCTTGATGTCGACAGGTGAATCCGTAGCAGTTGATATTCCTCAAGGTAAATTTTGATGTTACCTGTTGAAAGTACGTAAAAAGTGATAGATTTTAAATTGATTTCATTTAGAGGCGTAACCTGAAATTCTTTTTTATCTCGTCTATTTTTTTTTTGTTCCAATACATTATAATTTACAAGTATGGGAAAATTATAGTCAACCTTATTCATATCACTAAATACATTTTCTTAAAATTAGAGATTTTTTATTATAATTATAAGTACCTAGAGAATTTTTTAGAAAGGCAGAAGTGATTTAAAGTCTTGAAGTAGAAACAAATCACGAAAATGAATTAAACGAATGTTTACAATAATTAAAGTTATCTCTTGATAATATTATAAAATTTTATTTGTTATTATATTCTTTTCTTTCCTATGTGTTATAATATAATTGTATATTATAAGAGAATTAAATAGTGATTATATTAGAAGAGTTGAAAAACAAAATATTATTGATAGATTGCGATAAATTGTTTTTTATTTTCTTTTAGATAAAAGAAACTTAGAGAGATGGACTGATGGAGAAAGATATTTAAAATAATGAAAAATAAAAGAGATAAGTGTAAATTGTAAAAAGTGAAAAACAAATAATTTTAAAGGTAATTGTATATCATCAAAGATTTAATAATTTAATAATTGAATTGATATGAAATCTTATAATATAACTTTGATATTAACCCAAAGTTTTTTCTTTGCTCTTGCCGTTATATGATATATGTTTATATACATAAATGTAATATCATGAAACTTTTTCTTGTTTCAAATATGTAGAACCGAACGAGAGAAGAAGACGCATGATTTCGTATCGAGCTGCACTACGTGGTGATTGGAAGTATTACATAGATGAAAAAGAAAAAATAAACTTTGGGGCTACGATCTCTGATAATGAATATACGGCTCTCCATATTGGGGCTACTCTAAAGTCCTGCAAATTTGCTAGAAAACTGCTTCATGAGCTGGATGGATTAGAGGATTTAGTTGTGAGAAATAAATCTGGCAATACGGCTTTTTGTCTTGCTGCTGGATCTGGAAAATTGGAACTTGCCATGGAAATGATAAAAGTTGCCCAGAAAATGGTAAATGAGAAGAAATATGGAAACTTAGAATTGGCAATGATAAAAGAGAAATATGGAAACTTAGAAGAGGTGGAAAAGATGAAGAACAATGGAGAGTACTTAGCACAGGTGAAAGGTAATGAGGAAATGTCACCACTTTTGTTGGCAGTTCTCTTCGGCCATGAAGAAATTACATATTGGCTTTATCATCTCACTAAAACTTCCTTAAAGCCTCCTGATCGGGTCGAATTGTTTCTTGCTCTGATAAAAAATGGTTTTCACGGTAAGACTACCAATATTCTTTACATTGTTTTGACTTTAACTACCTAAAAAATTATCATCTCAAAATTTCATATATAATATAATGTGACTAGGTGAATATATATTATATTTAATCAATTAGTGAATACCACATTATTTATGGTATAATGAGATAGGTGATATAACTTGTCAAATTAATCAATTACCAATTTTGTATCTCGTTGTTTGGGACAAAGATCAGATTCCTACTTTATAAATGTTACATTACTCAACCTTTTGAATTTAATTACTTAATCAGATTTGTTATCTATGATATGTCCATTTACTGCAACTACATTCTGTTTCACCATTTACGGCAAGCCCTCTTATTAATTAGATTAGTTGAAATAATATTGAATGAATATTTATCATCTTATCACAGTACATGTCATTTATGAAATTGGATCAAAATTATGATAGTTGATCAGAATCAATCGACCTATTATGACACAAGTGGTAGTTTCTTCATATCTTAGAGAGAGTTTCTTGATCTTTGTGTTATAATATTAAGAAAGATATATAGTTTCTCAATAATGAAAATTTCTAAACATCTCACCTCTAATCTTTGGTATCTTGTGAGCGCACAAAAATGAAGATTATTAAAATATATATCGTAAAATGTTCTTACTCGTGTTTCAAAATTAATGCACAAAAATAATGATGCAATTTACTATTCACAATTAATTGATTCTACATTACCATGATCTTGATTTATGTCTTTCCAGAATTGGCGCTGCAATTGCTAAAGGAACACAAAGAGTTAGCTACTGCTCATGATGAAATAGAGAAAAAGGAAACAGCATTACATGCCTTGGCTCAATTGCCTGCTGCCAATCAACAAGGAGTTTGGAAAAGAATCAAGAGATGCTTCAACCGATGTCAGTTCTCTTCAATCTTTAAACTCTTTACCATGCCTTGATTAGCTGTATTTTTGTTTTGGAATTTACAATCTAATTTTACATTGTCATGAATTGTGATTTAGCTGTATGAAGAAAGAAATAAAGGGAGAAATAGGCAGTTTTGTTGGGCCATGAAGAATGAAGGATCTATTAGTACTTTCTTACTTTTATTAAGACATAAGAAATAGTTTCTGTCTTGATTTCTTGATATTTGTTACTTTGTATCTTATAATAGATATTAAGAAAGAGTTTCTCAGTTTTGTGAAGATTTTTAAAATTGATTCATCTCAACATCTGGCCTTTGGTGTCTTGTGAGGGCACATAAATAAAGATTATTAAAATATATATTGTAATATCGGCTACACAATAATGGTTAATTTATCAATTCTACATCATCCATGATGTTGATTTTTGTCTTCCCAGATCATACGCTGCAATTGCTAGAGAAATACAAAGAGTTGGCCAATCAACAAGGACTTTGGGAAAAAATCAAGAAATGCTTCAATCGATGTTAGTCCTCTCTAATCTTTAAACCCTTCAGCTTCAGCATACCTTGATTAGTTATATTTCACATTTTAAATTTATGCAATAATTAAGTTGCTAATTTATCTTTCACATTTTAAATTTATTGAAATATAGAGAACCATATTCTTCCCTTTTCTTTAAAATGAACTTTGGTTATCTCAGCTTAATTTTTCTGTGAAGTACTAAAGTTGGTTCTACCAAACTCCCAGTTTTATGCAGTATTGAAAAGCAGTCCCCAGAAATGAAACTACTCCAACGCGTCTGGGAACTAGCTATGGATAGTCCTGACTTTAAGAAAATTTTAGAAGTTGCCAAAAAACAGATATTTGTTGCTGCAGAACGAGGAAATATCGAGTTTTTAAAAATACTTTTTCATGGATATCCTGATTTAATATTCCAAAAGGACGATAATTGGCCTAGCATATTCCACTTTGCTGTTAAAAATCGTCACTTGGACATCTTCAGACTCATACATGAAATAGGTTCACTCAGAGATTTTATAGTTTCCCAAAAAGATAAGGAAGACAACAATATCTTGCATCTGGCTGGGATGTTGGCACCGTCAGAACGGCTCCATAGCGTATCAGGAGTAGCACTGCAAATGCAGCGAGAATTGTTGTGGTTTGAGGTGATTATCTACACCACTCTTTTGTGCACTAAACTATTTTCTTAATTCATTGGATCCATATTTCATAACATTTATATAATTGTAGGAAGTGAAAAAGCTTATGAATCCATTTGATGCTGAAGCTAAAAATAAGGACATGGTTGCTAAAGCTAAAAACAATGGAAAAGCATTGGAGAAAGATAAAAATGAGGATGGAAATCCAACGGATACTGAAACTGAAAAAGGAGGAGAAGGATTGGCAGATGAAACTGAAAAGAAAGATGGAAAAACTCCTGGAGCTTTATTTAGTGAGCAACACCAGAAATTAAAGGAGGAGGGGGAGAAATGGATGAAGGACACGGCAAACTATTGCATGGTTGTGGCAGCACTTATTACCACTATGGTTTTTGCTGCAGCTTTGGCTGTACCGGGTGGCACCAATGCCGAGACAGGGACTCCTCATTTCCTTAAAAAAAGTTCTTTCAAAATTTTTATTGTATCAGATGCGATTTCACTGGTATTATCCACTTGCTCCATATTAACCTTCTTATCCATTCTCACTTCCCGCTACGCAGAAGAAGATTTCCTTAAGCCGTTGCCAAGAAAGTTGCTTGTTGGACTTGGAACACTTTTGTTATCAATGGCAGCAATGATGGTAGTGTTTTGTGCAGCTATTTTTATTCGCTTCAAAGATGGAGTGGTATGGATTCCCATTCTTGTTGCTGCAATTGGTTCTTTGCCAGTCATCTTTTTTATTATACAACAAGTGTACCTCTTTATTGATGTGTTGGGTTCAACCTATATTAGAGGCTCTATCTTCAAGCAAGGGGAGGGTACTCTTTTCTCCGAGAAAGGGAAGGCAAATGAAGTCTTAGAAGAGAAGATAACTTAGTATCTTCAACAAATAATGCTGTAGTTCAGGTGTATGCATTTAAGATTTATATAGTTGTCATTGTCCATCAGAACACTACTATTTCTTGTAAATAAATAAAAGGGACGAGCAATGTCTGGTATTTGAAATGCAGTTGAGGGCAATGAATAATGTCACAATTCTAAAATTTATTGTATTATAACTTTTTGTATGATAAATAAGGGGTAATTCTTATTTTTACCCTTCAGTTTCCCTATATTTAAATTTAAAAGTTCCAAGAAAGAATCAAGGATAGATGCATCTATTACTCACACTCCACTATTTCCCTAAAAAGAAACTATAATTTAGGATGTTTCACTTCTACTGCTCAACCAAGGAATACTTCATTTCAATGACAAAATCCTAAAATATTTGAGAAACGAAATCAAATGTGAAACAAAGGGACAAGATTTATTATTTGACTTGAGGTATGTACGTCTTAATTGATTTTATTCTTTTCTTTTTCGCCCTAAAACTGAGAGTACTAAATTAGAAAACGATGGACAAATTATTGATATGGTTAATTCAATTTTAAGTATTCTTATTCTTTCACAATATTTCTTCTCCACTTTAAATTATGGATAAGAAAATGCGGTTGTTGGTATTACTACTATGGATAAGAAGTTTTGATATGTATACAACTTTGATTCTGGGAAATTTGGGTAGTACAAATGATTATACAAAATTTAATAATCATACAAAATTAAGTTATTGATTTTGATCACTTCTTTGGATCGTCAATCTGTGTCCTTAAGAAGCCTCTATTGTACAATGCATTCGGATAGCGGTGTCCGAACACGATAGAAGCTTTGATAATGATTTGCAATTTATTTCTTCTAAATACCAGAGACCACCCATAGGAAGCTCTTGTAACGATTGAACCTGTTGCTCTAGACGAATAGGCCACTTCTGTTCCGGAAACAACTTAGCCTAACCAAAGGTCAGACTTTCAAACTTTCCCAAGTCCTCAATCGAGAAATCTTGCTTTAGAGGTGCTCTGTGCATGCGGTTGTCAGGAGCTTTCTGGTTACCACTGTCAGATGGTGTTGTCTGCCTGTGACTGTCAGGAGGTGGTGCTGGTTTCGGCTGTGTCATCGGTGGAACAAGTTCAAAGTTCCTGATGCTGCGTCTCATAAATATTGGAGGAATGCAATTAGGTGATGATGAACTTTCTGTTACTGGTGTTTGAGGAATGTCTTGCTCATAAACTGGTCGAATCCCACACTGTTTCACATAACCTTCAGCATACAATGTACCTCTGGAGAGTATATAAACAGCAGCATGAATGGCTACTACCCCACTAGGCCACTCTTGTTTATAAAACAGCTTGCTTGAAAAATAGCCCAGCCAAAGGTGGTGATGATCAGACTTCACAGTTTTGGAAGTAGAGATGATGAATTTGAATTTATAATTCCTTGAACCTATGCTTAAATGGCATTGAATTTTTGTCGCATTTCCTTCATGCGAAAAACCAGGAACTTTAAATACCACAGACAAAGCGAATCCCATGAGTTCATCACGTTTACTGAATAGTAGTTGGGTGTCTACTGAACTCTGATTACTCCAATCACTAAACCACTTTGAAATTTCACTTCCAAGAAGACAAATATGAAATTGAAGAGGTTGATACTGAGAAGATCGATAACGAAATTCAGGATCAGAAAAGCGATTCTGCAACATGAGCTCATGATTACCTAGATTCTGGAACATGAGATATATAATGAGTATCAATGATAAGCGTGCATAAATGAAAAGAGAAATGCTGGAAATAAAGATAATGCTACCTGTGGCTTTCTTAAGAGAACTAATTCTGTCACAATCTTTAAAATCAATTAACATAGACATTACATCTTAATGATCCTACATGATATATATAAACACACCAGACAAATCTATGTATAGGATGTCCTCAGAGATTGTGTGTATGTGCATACTACGGCAAGATAGAAAGCTTGGAAGTTATGTTGCTGATACAATGGCTTCAGGTCTCTTTCCTCTCTCTCTCTGTTGATTATTTTGATTATTTCGCTGTATGTACAATTAAAAAAATGATACTGACTACTCATAGACTACAATGATATTGTACTCAAAATAATCAACAGAGAGAGAGAGGAAAGAGACCTGAAGCCATTGTATCAGCAACATAACTTCCAAGCTTTCTATCTTGCCGCGATTGTCGACCCGTATTGAACAATTAAAAAAATGCAGTGCAATGTATGTACAAGTGCTCTGTTTTAGGGCGGTAGTTAATGTTTCCACATCTAAGGAAGCACAGTTTTCTGCCCCAACAAAAAATAATTTTGGTGGAAGCTCCGGCAAATACTGAAGGCATTGCCAGTTTTTCAGGAATAGCATTTTAAGATTCCCAATCGTACAATGGAACATGGTACTTCTCTAATTGCAGTACCACTTATATCCAGCTCTTCCAAACTCTCAATTCTCCCCAAATTCTGGGGTAGTTTGTTCAATTTTGAGCAGCCATGAAGATTAAGAATCTTGAGATATTTCAAACGACAGATGTTGCTAGGAAAGCTCACAAGATTTTTGCCATTTCTCAAATTCAATACAATTAGCCCTTTGAGAGCTCCAACAGATGGATGAACCTTAGCAATCTTGTACAACCTTCAAATTTGAGTTGCCCAAGGTCTGGAAACTCTGTAAAGTCTGGTGTTCTGATAAGCTCATTGAAGTGACTAAAATCAACGGTTTTCAACTTTTTGAAATACTGTAAGTAAGAAATAAAAAAAATAAAAAATAAAAGCATTGCTTCCATAAAAATTTACCATATATGCAAAGAAATCAAAATAGAATACCTTTAGGTCCTCCCAAGGATATTCAATAATGTTGGGAAAAATATCAGGGACAAAACCATCCTTTAAGAGTGTAATTTCTTCCTTAGGTTGGTCAGGAGTACTTGTCTGTCTAGGAAGTGCTAGTTTTATCTCTGTTATCAGTGGGAGAAGTTCGAATTTCCTGAAATTGTGTTTCATAAACACAGGAGAAATGCGATGTAATGATGAACTTCCCACTTCTGGAGTTTCCTCAATATTGTAACCAGGACCCATCTATCCATTGTCTTGCTCATAAATTAAACGAATCCCACACCCTTTCACTGTACCAATGGGCATCATCGTACCCTCGGATGATACATGAAAGGTAGCATAAACATGTATTTCACCAGTTGGCAAGTTGTTTAGGGGAAACAACTCACTTGACAAATAGGTTAGCCAAATGTGGTCAAAATCAATAGTTGTGAAACCAGGGATGGCAAATTTGAAATTGTAATCCATTGAACCTATGCTTAAGAGACAATTTATGATTATTGGGTCTAATTTATATGAATAACTAGGAACTGCAAATACAGCACACATAGCAAATCCCATGAGTTCATCAAACTTGTGGGAAGGTACTAGGGTTTCTATTGAATACCAATCACTTGAATCACTGAACCACTCTAAAATTTTTCCTCCGGAAAGACAAAAATGAAATTGAGAAGAATGATTACAGAGATCCTACAACATGAAATTGCGAGCATTACTAAAAAGCATGATTATATAGTATGTGCCAACTATAGCCCATTTATTAATTTTTTTATTTTTTATTTTTTTGCTACAATTTCATTCTTACGATAGCATTCAATAGGAAAAACTTGGAAGCAATAAATGTGCTTGCTAGTTTTAGGGTGTTACAATATCAAGGAGTTAGTGCCATATTTCACATTACCAATACTGAAAAGCATAAGCTAATTTATAAATATTTGATTATCACGTACCATGTAAACTCAATTGAGACATGCAAATAAACCCTCTAACAATTGTTCAGAGATCACAGCTACGTTTCTTTCTATAGTTCTCCATATTCTCTCCTTTTTTTTTTTTTTTTTTTTTTTGGGTAAATGTATAGTTTTCCATATTCGTCCACTCCTTTCAGTTTTCTCTAGATCTCCTCTCTTCACCTCTTCTCTGAACATTAATTTTAATGTGTGAATCAAATTGGAAATTAAGTTGGTGTAGAAAAAGCACAGAGAGTTTGTGAATGTGTAAACTATTACAGACATCGGGTACTTTTGGGGTGTATATATTCCTGTTAAGTGTGAATCATCTAGTAATTATACTAATATAATACAGAAATGTTTTTATACAAAAAGATTGATAGTTTTATCCTAAAACTAAATAAGTGATATCTTGAAGAATGATGCAATTGAAGACCATAATGTTGTAATATTCAAGATTATCTACTCGCACACTAATAAAGAGAGAGAAAGAGAGAGATACCTTAAGCCAAAGTTTCAGCAACGTAACTTCCAAGCTGTCTATCCTACCATGATTGTCAACCAATTTTGAAAAAGTGTAGTGCAATGTGTGCAGAAGTACTTCGTTTCAGTGCACTAGACAACGCTTCCACGTCCAAAAAGGTACAGTTTTCTGCACCAATAAAAATTATTCCTTAGGAAGCTCTGGCAAAGACTGCAACTTCTGGCACTCTTCCAAGCATAGAATTCTGTTATGCCTCAAAAGTCACGTCTATGTCAGCTCATTTAATGTCTTTTTGTACCAGCTGTCAAGCCCATATCTCCAAAGATATTCACACTAACTTTATCTCATTTCAAAGAGATGAACGGACGAGAGCCTTCCATGTGTCAAGGCAATTTGCAAAATACTCATTACATTAAGTGTTTAGGTGAATAAATGAGCACTCCTCTTCCCGAAGAGGAAGGTTGGGCTGAGATTTGAGCTTCAATTCTTTCTCTCTGTAAAAACACTGTATTTCTTCATCTTTGTATGCCTTACGGGAAAAATCATAGAAATAGTGAGAGATCAATAAAATAACAGTAGATGTAAGAGTCGCTTATTGAGCATCCGAACCACTATAAAAACCCCTCTTGCCAATCTTTTATTTATTTTTCTGCAAAATATATAATCTCAGTTTCATATTCAAATCTCATGGATCCATCACATATGATTCTTAAGTCCGCTTAGCGTTTCTCACATGCGAGTCGTTGATGTCCAAAATCAAGCGTCAACAAATTCTAAGTTTCAAAAGTTGCTTCATGCTTTCCGGTAGACTAACAATATTGCTTCTGCTTAAATTTAATTCTTCTAACAAGGATAAGGAGCCAATATCATTAGGGATTGCTCCTTCCAAGATATTGCAATCACCAAGATCTAATACTTTTAGAGAGGAGAAAACTGTTAGATGAGGCATTATCAAACACATGGAGTCTATGCATCCACGTAGAGCTAATGTTTCAAGGCTCCTCAAGCATACAAGGGAGGATGGTACTTGTCTTATTGAAGTCCCACTTGCATCTAGCTCCTCCAAACACTTGACTTCCCCCAAATTTTGGGGCAATTTATCTAGTTTTGAGCAGCCATAAAGATTAAGAATCTTCAGAGATTTCAAACCGTAGACATCGCTAGGAAAGCTCACAAGGTTTTTACAATGTTTCAAGTTCAATACAATCAACCTTTTGAGAACTCCAACAGATGGGTGAACCTCGAGCAATCTTGTACAACCTTCAAGATTGAGTCGCTCAAGGTTTGGAACCTTCATAAAATCTGGAGTTCTGATAAGCTTGCAGGAGTGACTGAGATCAATGGCTTTCAACTTCCCAAAAGACTGTAAGAATTAACAAGGGAAAAAAAAACAAAGAAATTAGTAAATAAAAGAATTGGTTTTATAAAAGAGTAATACTACACATATAACATTTTTATACAACATTATGTGGTAAAATATGATTAACTGATTTTAAATTAAAATTCAATTTTCACCCAATCATTTTTTGCTACATAATGTTGTAGAAGAAATATTAGATAAGAAAATTGTATGTGTAGTATTATTCTTTGTAAGATTACGATTTATGCAAAGAAAATAATTATGATATGTACCTTTGTGCCATCCCAAAGATATTCAATGTGGCTGTAACATATATTCAGTTCAAAAAGGTTCTCTGGGTGGAAGCTTGGAGGAAAAGTATTTGAAGGGTAACCATGCCAATCTAGAATTCGCAACTCATTAGATAGGTATTCAAGGTTCTCAGAAAGTTGAAAGCTAGTAATTTGGAGTAGTCTCAGATTGCCCATGTTTGAAAAGGATTTTCCATTCAAGTATGTAATTCCCTCCTTTGGCTGGTCAAGGATTATACATTCAACAGCATGTGTTCCCTAGAAAAACAAAAAAAGAAAAAGAATAAATAGTACAGAGATTACCTAGAGCTATCATTCAACAAAATAATGTTTGTGCTTTTCATGTTTACTATACTATCTTACCGTTTTTTCTTCTAGAACACGATAAATATCCTTACATAACCATAATCTGCTCCATTTGCCAGGCTTATGAGGGAGCTTTTCACGAACAATTTCCCAGCCCATGACTTGTAGCAGATCATGCATCCAGAACTTATCATCTGATATAGCTATTAGTGATTTTTCAATAAGTACTGATATTCCAATATTAGGGTAAAACCCACAAGCATCTAGTATTTCCATTACTCAACCTTTATCCTTCCCTTTCAAGAAGCAAGCTATATCTAAGAATATTTGCTTTTCTGTGATCTTTAGTCCATCGTAACTTATTCTAAGTACTCTCAAAATTTCTTCATCAGGATGTTCTTTTAGCCTATCCAAGGCGCTTTTCCATTTGTCAACACTTCTGTCACACAAAAATGATCCCACAACTACAAGAGCTAACGGAAGGCCTTGTGTGTAGTTTATGACATGCTTTGACATCACAAAATGTTCATGTGTAGGTTGTTTATGTTTGAAAGCCTTCATTTGTAAGAGCTTGTTAGCTTCATCATGATCCAATCCTCCAACATTATATATATATTGGACTCCATGTCTAATTAGCAAATGTTCATCTCTTGTTGTAATGATGATTCTACTCCCAGATACAAACCAATCAGGTGCAGCAGCCAATGCTTTTAATTGTTCTTGTTTATCAACATCATCAAGAACCAGCAAAACCTTTTTCCGACGTAGCCCTCTTATTATCAATTGGATTCCTTTCTGAACATCCCATATATTTGATTTTTTACGGAAAAGTACCTCTGACAGAAGCTGTTCTTGTAAACAAATTAGAACTTTATTTTGAGAGACTTCTCTAACATTGGCAAGAAAGCAAGAACCTTCATATTGATCTGATAGCCAGTCGTATACAACTCTAGCAAGTGTAGTTTTACCTATTCCACCCATTCCCAATATGCCAATGAAACGAACATTATTTGACAGTGGCTTTAAGTACTTTATCAATTCCTCGACACGAGACTCTACTCCAACAAGGTCCTTAGGGACATTAATGGGGAATGGAGTATCCAATTTTTGGGATATCATGTTAACAATTGTTTGGATAATTTCAGATTCATGGCTGCGAAGAACAGTAGATGAAACATATAACTAAATTATTATGTTGCAGCTGATATACTAAGAGTAACGAGTTACAACATAAAAATTATAATGACTTTTTTAAAGTCAGAAAACTTGAACATTGTACACGTTTTCTTACAAAATTTGTGCAATAACTAACATGTAGACTAAATTCAACTTTAAAATAGAGATCGTTTCAAATTATTAATGGGTTAACTTTTACTGATCCAATGTTTTGAACCCGAAATATGAAACCAATTTGTATGAAATAGTGACTGTAGTAATCTCGATCTATCATTTATTCAATCAAAGTAGGTTGTAAATCATATCTGATTATCCATGTATGCTACTTTGGCTAATGTCTGTTTTACTTCATACGATTATATTCCCTTCAAAAGTCTTAAGATAAAACAAAAAGAGAATTAATAAGAAATTTACTTCTGTGCAAGAATTAATAATTTTCAGTACCTGTCCTGCAAATGCAATCCAGAAAGATTAGATATTTGAGTGACAGCGGATCTCCACCTTTCCACCTTTTGCTTATTCTCCCTGAAACTTTCTTCATGTTTATCAAATGCTTTCTTGAAATCTCCGGTCTGATTCCGTACATCAGATGGATTTACATAATAAAAAATTGGCAAAGCAGTATGTTGCTTCTCCTGTATACACTCAACAATTTTTGCAAGTTCTTCTAGACACCATGTAGAAGAAACATAGTTTTTGGGTAAAATTATGATGGAAATCATGGATTTCTCAATTGCACTCAAGAGTTCAGATGAAATTTCCTTTCCTCTCTCAAGTTCTTCATCGTCCCTAAACGTGAAAATTCCCTTTTGATCTAAGGCAGCATATAGATGGTCAGTGAAATTCTTTCTAGTATCTTCACCTCTAAAACTCAAGAACACATCGTATTTCCATTTACAATTAGAAGAAGAAAGAAATGAAGAGGCCATTGGAAACTGAGTTCTTTAGCTTTGCTTATTGTTCTGAGAAATGAGATAAGCCACTTCACTTCCTTTTGTTGGCTACTTCGTATTAAGTCAATTTTTTTTGTCAAAATCAGAAACCCGGTACCATTATGAGAGCCAGCTTACCGCAGATATTATAAAACAGGGATTGTTTTTCCAATATAACCCCTCAACTACTAGGAATAATGAAAAAACCCCTATCGTCTATAGATGTCAGAAAATTTCCATTAAGGGCAAAACGGCGTAAGAGTTGAGTAAATAATTGATAAAATATAAAAGCCTAAAAACTAAAAAAAAAAACTTTAAAATATAGAAAACCTAAAGACTGTTATAATTTTACTGGTGTAATTACAATAAAATATACTAATAAAGATTGAAAAAGAGCAAAATAAAGAGGGCTGAAATAAATTTATTTTATTAATTCTTTTTCTCAATTGAGTTATATATAAAATGAAGGAAATTGACCCAATTTAAAGTCTGTCCTCACCAACCCACCTCCTATGGAGACCAATTTTCCAATGTCATGTGTTTTGAAGTTGGACTTGTATAGGTCATGTGGACTTGCATGAGTCGTGTGTCTTCAAGTTGAACTTGCATAGGCTATATAACAAATTAGTGGAAGTTCACCACTTACAACACTCCTTTTTAGGCATTCACTATTAACAGGTAATTACATTTAACCTTACTCAGGAAAAACATAGTGAGATAAAAAATCTAAGTAAATTAATTCAACTCTATAATACAACTATAAAGTAATGTTGGATGTGCTTCATATTGTCTCATTAAAAACCTTGCCAAGATATAAACAGAGGCTAGCTATCTTATTATTCATTCAATCACAACGCTCTCTCTAGCTCTTAAGATCTTGCTCCCAAGAACCACCGCCTTTCCCCCACCATCGAATCGAGTTCCAACCACTCAACGTCGATAATCGCTATAGAGTCGAGTTTTAGTCACTCTACTCTAATAGTCTTGCCCCAGCCAAACCCTTTCCCGCTCTCAACCTTACTTAAATATTTCCTTCAACCGTGCTGACTTGAGTATTGGAGTACTTACGGCAGACACCACATTGGTGTCCTCTGAGCCTTTGCACTCACTTTCTTTGCCCCTAGAAGTCTATGAGGTTGTTAATGGCTCTTCCTCACACGATCAATTTGAAATGACATCCAGGTAGATTTTATCATCTACAAAAAGCAAATCCAAAATTTATAGAACAATGCATATGTTCACATTTGAGAATTTTTGTTGCATTAAAAAAAAAAAAATACATCTTTATATTTTAATTTTTCTTTTAAAAAATCAACTCTATTGCCATGTGAAGCAACTTCATCTGTAGCATTCCATTCGATATTTCATTAAATTTTTTACGGAAAATTGTTAAGATGAAATATAGAAGCTAAGTCCTATTTGTGTATTAATTATTGAATCAAATATACCAACCATTAATCAAGCTTAAGTAAATTTATGATTTATGATTTTGCTTGTACTAAAAGAAAGTCGTCACACAAAACTTCTGGAAAATAATCAAAGCCACTCATAAATAGTTTTCAACTTTATTAATTCACAGATATACAAATAAGCATATCGATCTACTCTCAAGAGTTTATCCTTATTCTTGTCAAGTTCTACCTTTACTTCAGTCTTACATTTTATCTTTATGGCTTCATCATCATCTTCTTTATCTTCCATTACCCTTCAAACCAAATAAATTTCTTAAGCTAATAAGGAATTTATTCTACTTCAAAATCTTAATTTATTAAATTTTAGGAAAAAACATATAGACTTTATAACCTTTTTTCTATGCAATGAGTATAATTAATTTGTATAAGATGTGCTTAATTTATTTATGATATACAATTTTTTTTTTTTTTTTTTTATTGAATTGGATCATTTTGGAACTATATAAACTATTGCAGTTTTAATGTAATAACTTATCATTGTTTTTTTATACCTGCAGGGAGGGCGTTGGCCCACTCTGGTCTCAAGCCGACACGGCCTTCTCCATGTGATTAGTTGTTCGATTTGTCCATGTGTTTAGTTGTTCGATTTATATTTTAATGTGAAACATAAATTCGAAAGTAAAAGAATTGACATATAAAGAGTTATTTTCATATGATCTACATCTTGGATTTGGAGAAGCGTTTAGTAGCTCTCCTTGGTTTATGATAAAAACGATGATGTTATATACAATATTTGACTTTGAACTCAATAATTGAAATATAAGTAGGCTCATTAAATGAGTGATGTTGTTGCTACTCATGTATTATCTAATAAAACCACATATTATTAAAAAAAAAATATTTTAATTACAATTTTACCCTTAAGCAAAATTGCTAGAAAGTACACTTGAATTATTTTGACAAAACTAGAGTAAGAATTTATAAATTAAAAATGTTGTTAATTTTTTTTAACCCTAGTTTTTGGTTAATTTAACATCCTGTGTGAAGAAAATTAAGGGTCGTGTTGAAATAAACAGAGTATATTTAGAAGTTAATCTATTATTCTAGGCCGAACAACGTACACATTATCATGTTTGGTTATCAAGTAATAAAAAATTTCAATAATTGATGAGTGCTTGGAAGCGCACTCATATTTAGTGATTTTAAGGGTATTTTGTGAGGGACTTAGGTTTAATTGGTTAATTTTACTTAATTTCTATATCTCTTTTGTTTTCTAGAATCACGAGTATGTTTTATGAATTTTCAAGTATTTAGGTGCTAAAAATAAGGATTTCAAGCATGGACATTAACGAGGAAAGAATCATAATCGTGTAGGAACAAACATTTCAAGAATCGGAGCTCAAACAAAGAAGTTATGGATTTTTGAAGATTGTTTGCGGCGGAGGATTTTTGTGCTCTGGGGTGAGTGAACATGCTGCACTAAAATGGGTGTAACTTTCTCCACACAACTCCGATTTACCTAATTCCGGTGGAGTTTGATATATAAGAGATAAATATATAACTTTTATGTTTTGGTCGTATCCAGTTCAATATTTAGGATGGCTAAAAATTGATCCGAAAGTTACATCAGTGCATAGAAGACAAGTAGACGCAGGTTCTGGAACATGCCTCAGTATTGCTACGATAACTTGAGCTAAAGACCTCATATTTGGATGATTCTTGGACCCTTGGAAACATGATTCAAATAGATACAATTTATATGTTTATGGCTTCGTTAGATTCAGAATTTTTCATGTTGGCACACAATTTTCCAGCAGCAGCTGTTAAGGAGAAACGAATAGAAAACAGAAACTTCGCCAAGCTACCATAAATTCCTCAGCACGAACTGTGAGCTGTTCCACATATTTTTGTAAAGCTTTGGAAGTCTAGTTTACTAGAATTTTACGGTTCATTACTCCGAGATTTCTAGAGGAAGATATTCCTGTTTTAGTACCAAAGGGTCAGCACAGGAATCCTAATTCTACAAGGACTTAAGTTAAGATTAATCTGAATTTTATTCTCCTATTTTGCATATGATTTTTCCCATTACTTTCCCACAACCCTACCACTATAAAAGGATGTCTTTAGGTATTTTTTTTGGGGAGGAGACTAAAACTTTGAGAGAGGCAAGGAGAAGAGACTTCAACTTGGAAAGAATTGGAGGCAAGGAGAAGAGATCTACCTAGGGCTTCATATTTTTCTCTTGTACTTCATGTTTTTGAAGGGTTTGAGGTTTGATTTCCTTATAATCATTTGTAACTAAATACTTTTCTAGGGTCCGATGTAACCTAACATGAAGGTTTTATGGTTTGATTAATTTTATTGTTCTATTGATTCAATATATTTCTAGTTTCATTCATTGCACTTAATTCGATCTTGATGTTTTGTATGAAATAAGTATGGTAAACATCATATGCTAATTTTAAAATACAAAACAATTGATTGTTTGAGACAAGGTAAGGTAAACATCATATGCAAACCTTGAATAGCTCTTTTGAATGACTGGATTGTGTTGAGGCAAACATTAGGCTAGATACAATTTGGTTCATATTTTTAGTGCTTCTTGTTCTTAATGGGTTCTTGATCGTTAGGCTTTACTAAACATCCTGGTGAGTTTAATAGTTAAGAATACTTGGTTAAACTCGAACATCAAACAGTAATACTATAATAATGGAAGATTGAATCCTAGGAATTGGATTGAGACGGCAATAAACTAGTTATTAGCAGAGAATCGGATTGTTATGGTGAAATCGGATACTTAGGTTTTTCTTGCATTGGTTTTCAATTAATTTTTAATTTTGTTATTTAATTCAGTTGGTTAAGAATTTATTTTGTTTCCTTAGAACATCTCCAAATGACTATTTATATGACTTAAACTCTTTATTATAAAGAGTTTATCCATAGAAACAAGAGTCCAACATACTCTTTATTCTTTAAATATAAATTAAAGAGTGAGTTTGACTCTCCACATTTAGAGAGTCAAATTTTACTCTCTATCCAAATTTTAAATAATAAATTGCAAGTTTCTATATATTTTATTTATGATTTATCTCTCCTATTAAGTTTTCTTCTTGAAAAAATTTATTCTCTCTCCTAAAATTTAAAGAGTCTATTGGATTTGAATAAAAATTTTGTTCTTTATTTTTAAAAATCAAAGAAGATGCTCTTTATATTTAAAAATCAAAGAAGATGCTCTTTAAAATAAAGAGTACTATTGAAAATGCTCTTAGTAATTAGTTTAATTTCTCTTGTTTAAAATTTTGTTTATTTTATTTGTTTAATTAAGGCATAGTATATTAGGATTAATTGAGCATTTACAAATCTTTGTGGGATTGGCCCTTGCTTTTGCACACTAGACTACAATAGCGATTCGCGCACTTGCGAGGAATTAAAATTATTCATCAACAATATTCCAAAACTAATAGTAATTATTGTTAGTTATGTAGGTGGTAATTTGAATATTACTATTTTCTTAGGTATTCTAAGATTACATGATAATCTTATTTTTGTTACAATTTTACCCCTAAGGGTGCATTTGGATAATATAATGTTTTATTATAGGGGGACGTTATATTAATGGAAAAATATATCACCTTGAAGATTAATAGGAATGTTTAAGAAATGTGTTTGGTTAGTTCGAATACATTAGTGAGTAATATGTTTGGTTGGGAGGATAAATGTGTGGGTATGTTATCTAGATTACTAAATTGCCCTCCTTGTTAAATATTAATATAATATTATTTATTATTATTATTTTTTGAATCATTTCTTTTAACCCCCTGCATTTGAAATTTTGCTAAAACACCCTAGCCATATAAAACTTTAATTTGTAGCAAAATCACCCTCACCCACCATAAGCCACTGCTGGCAGGCAACCACTACCACCGCTCGCTGCCAATAGTCGATGGAAAGGAGCACGATTGGTCGTATATGGCCAGCCGTGCACCGGAAAAACCATTTCCAATTTCACAAATCCATCGTCGTTTCACGGCCACAAATCTAGTTATGAAAAGACTAGATCTTTGGTCGTGAAACGTCCACCGTTTCACAGCCAAATCTGTGGTTGTTTCACAGCCACATCTTTGGCTATGAAATGGCCTTATAGGCACACGACCAACTAGATCCTACCGATCTTGTGCCATTACGGTGACTGACACTGATGGCCGACGGTGATCTTCGGCGATTGGAGGTATTTTGTTAACTTTTAAACTTCTTGTGGCTAGGGTGTTTTAGCTAAATTCTTAAATGTAAGGGGTTGGGTAATGTTTAATTAGTAGACATTTGAGAGCAATTGTGTCCGAACTTGAATTTAATTAAGAGCAAAATAGACATAAAAATCAAATTACCTGGTAATCGTTTAATAACAGCCTTGGTTGAGGGTATCGGATTACCCCCTACATTATCAATAATAAACACTATTTGTAATAAAAGATACTATAAAAGATACTCGTAATATTTTATTACTTACAAACCAAACGACGGAATCTTTCAAAATAAACAAAGATTACCCCTGTTATCTTATATGATCCCAATCCAAACGCACCCTAACTAATACATTTTTTGGACATTATTATCCTTATTCTGAAAACAATTTATGCAGAACACCCCAACCAAAATCTGACGATTATAATTTAGTTGTAATTACAATTGTAATCCCGATCGATTTGTAGTTTTCATGAACTAGGTCAACCTCAATAGTTCAGATATTATATTTGGGGGCTTGAGCAAACTAACATAAAATGTACTTGACCTTTGTAATTACTAATTCATGGGCACGATCTCTTTTTTTTTCTTTTTTTTTTGAAACTTACATTATTCATTAGAAGTTCAATTGAATTAGGAAGGTCAAGCTAATGCTTATTCATTGGCTGCATCAAGATTAATTTTGCTGATTTTCTTTTATTTAAACATCTTTTCTACGCTAATCTTTATTGTTCAACATACTTGCTGTCAAGATTAATCGTTTCACTGTTCATGTACTTGAAGATTAACCAAAATGTCTACTGAAAGTCTGATTTATTTTATTTTATTTTCAAGTTTTGGAAAATATTAATTTGCACCTCTTAAAATATGTCCAATGGATTAACGGAACAATTTTGAATCTTTTTCACCTTCACAGGTACAACTAGGGGTGTTCAAAAGAACCTGTTGGAACCGGAACCGGCGGGTACCAGGGTTTGGTTCCGGTTCTGGTTCCTACCGAGAACCAATCATCAACGGGTAGATTCCGGTTCCAAATTTTTAGAACTGTTACTGTGCGGTTCTGGTTCCGATTTCTACAGTTATGAACCAGAACCGGAACCAGGAACCAGGAATCGAGACTAATATAAAATAAAATTAAAGATTAGGGGGGTTAATAAAAACTTTTGTAGAAAAAATAATGTGAATACATTTATATTTATATTTCATAACATTTAAAGTAAGTTGGTTTGACTTTTAAGAATCTACCTTTACAAAATAATGGAGTTTGTAATTTTGAATTTATAATTTATAATTATATTTTTGTTAACAAGTGCTAGGTGGGGGCGTATTTGTAAGTTTTTAAGGGTTTTTTGCCATTTTAAAAACTTTTAGGGGGTCCTTGTAATTTTACAGGGTACCCAGAACTAGAACCCAAACTGTTGTTACAGGTTCTAGTTCTGGGTACCTAGGAACCGGAACAGTCAGTTCTGGTTCTGGTTCCAAATTTCAAGGAATCGGCGGCTCCGATTCTGGTTTCGGTTCCTTCAAAAAGTGCAGGTTTCCGGAACCAAATGCCCCTAGGTACAACTGTCTATTTATTTTTCCTTTTTCAAACTATATTTTGTTGAATAATTACAGTTTAACAATTCCTCCTATAAAACTACTTTCATTCCTTTCTTCTTCCAATCACTCGATTTTCACAACATTGATCTTACCCATCTGATTATAATAAAATAGTGTATTTTATTCAAAATATTAAGATTTTAATAAGATGTATGTCAACTGATTTTAAAAGAAAATATTTAAAGTTTTGTCATGCTTGAAGTTGTAATTCACTAAGCTTTTCTCTTTTATATATATATAATTGAATACTCTTCTTAGTTGTTTGACACGTGGCATATTTTGGAACTTATAAAATTGTTCTGTCTTGATACGTTAGATTGACTATTAGGATTTGTTGTTTAATGAGTCCAATCAAATTGCTCAATCTTGACACATTGAATTTGTATTTATTGCTATATCTATAATTAATAGTTAATAAAAATTATTAGATATGTATTAATAATTAATAATAATAATAATTTTAGATGTATTGCATTAGCATTATAAAGATTTAACCATTTTGACACTTGAATGTGTATTAATAACAAGTATAGAGATGTAAGGCATTGTCATGGTGAATGTTCTGTAGAAATTTCTCACATCCACGTTCACTTAATGAAAGATATTAATGAGAGATATTAATAACAATTGTACAAGTGCACTGCATTCGTATTGATTACATCCAAAGGTTCATATTAACCCAACCGTCTCTTGATTACATGATTTTCTGTCTCATCTCTCAAATTAAACTCACCCAATTCATTTAACTGCTCGATTATAATCAAAATGTCTCATCTCTCTGCGCTAATGGCAACTTAGCCTCTTACTATCAGACCTCACGTCACCGCTCTATCACCTCCTCCATGCGACACCATTACCACCGCTAGAGCCATCACAGTCGTCCCACTTCCGGCACTTGTCGGTGACCTCTTGATTCTCCCACTTCGGTTTAGTGGATGACGTTTCAAGATGTTAAATCCGAGTATGTTGTTTATGAGAGCATCCTCTTTGGAAAGGTTAATGGTATGCTTGAGAGTTTTTTTTTCACAGGTTTTCGGAAGTTTTTAATTAAACTGGTTTTGAGGTATTTAAAAACCATTATTTGCCAGATTTTTTATAGACCAGTTTTGACTGGTTTAAAAACTCTCAAAAACCAGTGAAGTGTATTTTTGAGGGGTTTATAAAATACCCCAAATTAGGGTGTTTTGCCTGGTTTAAAAATTTTATCCTCAAAAAACCCCTTTCCACTATTAATAATCCCTTTGCTGTTAAAAATGAAGTCACAGAATAGAGGAGTCAGTCAGCCTCTTCGTTTGATTCTTTCTTCTCCAACTTCTTCAATTCTCTCAACAAGGTTTGTTTCTCTCTTTCTCTCTCATTTTTTGTTTGGGTTTACCATGCCATGCTTAAATGAGGGAATGATCCTTTGTTCTTCTTAATTGATTTAAACTAGATTTGCAATAGGTTATTCTATTAATCACATTTGAGATGAATTGCCGCTTGTTTGAAAGCTTATACTTCTTTTTAACTCGTATTACTTCATTCAATCTTCAACTTTCAGATGACTATTACAATGTTTTTGAATCTTTTATTTATAGTAGAATAATATGTTAGAGCCAAATCATAAATTAGGCTTTTTTTTTATATATTTTTTCAGTTTGTTTTGTGCCAGCATGTGTGAGACTAAAACCCTTTTATTATTTGAGTTCTCTTTTTTGCATGCTTGTGCTGGCTCTGGCTGATATAAGTTGCCAATTAATCACATTTTTATTTAAAAATACTACACTAGATGCTAATCCAAGTTGATGATGACAAAACATGTATGGGGAGAAAACCCCCAAGCCTTCTACCATTTTCTATAATGCAATATGCTTCCCGTTAAGACAAGAACAAAAAGCCAAAACACCATTTATATTGAAACGATGATGTCCCTTTTAATAGACTCACAATTTCTAAAACCAATATTTTTTAAGGTTGTATTTCAGTTGGTTTCACAATTAATTATTGATATTTTGTACATTTTGTTAAACTCTTATTATGAGCATATATGTAAATTTATTATTTTAAAAAATTTTCAGAACCGTTGAAAAATAAACTTCCAAATACAGGTTAAATATTTTAAAAACTGCTATTAAAAATTTCTTAAAACCACTACATTGGTTTTCCTCAAAATCACTATATGATTACCCTAGTAACCGCTACCGTAAAACTCTCGGCCTAAAAGGTCCGCTCCGTTTATTTATTTTTTTTATAAAAATTGATTTTGTATTAAAAATTTTGTTGCAAAGAACGGTCAAGTTACAGATTTTGACAGCCAAATTTCTACAGACAAGATAACTAAGACGTCATGCAACTTTCCTGATTGGAGAGCAAGGTTTGGATCTAGATCTGTTGACTGGATGATTCAAACCTCTTGATCTTCCGTTTGGTTCTCGAGAAAATTTTGGATTTTCCCGGCAAGCGAACGGATTTGTAATTTTTGAATCATGTGCTCTTTATTGTTGTGAAATTGAGAATTTCGTCTGTGTTTTTGTGTGATTAGGTGCTTTTCCGTGGAAATTTTCGAATTTTTGAAGATGAATCAACTGTATCATCGGAAGAACGCCTTTGGCGCGCGTGTGGAGACGCACGGTTTTGCATTCTTTGATCAAAGGGAGTCTGTTGTTTGTCCGAAGCCGCGACGAGTTGGGATTTTGAATTCTCTTTCCTTTTAAACTTTGCTTTTTATTTGTTTAGAAATTTCAGTTTTAATGGAATCGTCATTTCATTACAGTCATCCAGTTGGGGTGTCTGATTCAAACGCCGGGGCAAAGCTTCTAGACATCATTCTCATGAAGGTAAGCTTAATTAATTGTTAAGGTTTTATTATGTGAAATGATTAGTTTTTCATTTGTGATGTATGACTGAGTCTGCAATGGGTGATGGTTTTGATTGAATATAAATATTTTATGTTTTTATTTGATTGTTTTAAATGTAGGTAATAGGTGAGGCTGATTTTCAGCGTAATAGGGATTTGGAGAAGGTAATTTTCGTTTTTATGTGTATATGTTTCTTTGTAATAAACGTCGTTTCAATTTTTTTGTGCTGGATTTTGAAATTTTGTTTGTATGTTGGAAGTTTTTGGTTGATTCGGGTTGTAATTTCTTTCGCTCACTGAGCTTCGCTTGTTATTATCTTCCAATTCTTCATTTTAATTTCTTATTTTGTCCAATTTTTTTTTGCAGTTTTCGTGTAGAAGAAGACCCGGGCATGTTCAATCCCGTAACTTCTCATCTTTCTTTGTTGAATGGTTGTAATATCAGTTCAAGATACCCTAATTCATAATTCTTTATATATAGTGCTTTAAATTATATTTATATCGCTTATTATTATCTTCCAATTCTTCATTTTAATTTCTTATTTTGTCCAAATTTTTTGCAGTTTCTGTGTAGAAGAAGATTTGGGCATGTTCAATCCCGTATCTTCTCATCTTTCTTTGTTGAATGGTTGTATTATGAGTTCAAGATACCCTAATTCATAGTTCTTTATATATAGTGGTTTAAATTATATTTATAATGGTAAAAGTTTTAACCATGAATCTTTTCTTATTCAACAGTGACAATTGCGGCATGTCGATTGTTAATTTCCACAGAAGCTGCCCCAATCCTGATTGTTCTTATGATCTGCCTGGCTTGCTGTGGAGAAATAAGAAAAGGTTTTCAACAGGGACATAGTGAAGAAGGGCATTCTGAATAGCAGTTAGCTGAAAAAGCAAATGGTCAGCTTACAGATTTTGACAGCCAAATTTCTGCAGACAAGATCGCTAGGACGTCATGCAACTTTCCTGATTGGAGAGAAGAGGCTGACGGTAGAATTCCTTGTTCTCCCAAAGGACGTGGAGGTTGTGGTACTTAGATACTTGCACTAAGACACATCTTTGATGCTAATTGGATTGAAAAACTGATTAAGACTGCAGAGTACCTGACTATCAATTATAGGCCACTGGATATTTTTCTCAAGGATGTTTTTTGTGCAATCATGTATATTCTGCTGACAATGGAGTAAAAACTTTTGGAGTTAGGCAGGCAGCTCATATGGACAACAGTCAGGACAATTATCTCTACTGCCCAACTGCTACTCAATTGGGAAACAATGATATCGAGCATTTTCAAATGCATTGGATGAGAGGTGAACCTGTGATAGTTACAAATGTGCTTGAAAAGACTTCTGGTCTTAGTTGGGACCCAATGGTCATGTGGAGGGCTTTTCGAGGGACAGAAAAGATTTTAAAAGAGGAGGCTCATAAGGTTAAAGCTGTTTATTGTTTTGATTGGTGTGAGGTATGTGTTCATGTTTTTATATCCCAGAGTTGCAGTACACCTTTCTGTAGTTGTTGATATGTGCCTCTAGAGGCATGCCTCCTACTGGCCCAGTTCCATTACCAGGCCAGTATTTTACTCGATTCACGTATTATTACTTTTTACTTTTTCCTTTTTAATGATAATTGGCTTTATAAGCTTTAAATCTGCTCTGTATTTTTACTTTCATAATGTTATGTGCCCTTCATATGCCCGTTGCTTTACTCTAAACCAAAATCACAAGCTTCTCAACACAAAACGAGCATTTAACTTAAATTCTTGACTGAAGAGTTTACATAAATTCTCAACCATGCATTCTGTTTAATCTAATTTTGTTGATGTTGCAGCTTCTCATCCATTGATTACAAGCGGAGTTGCTATTGGTTTAGGATCTGTAGTATTGAAGAGTGTGTCCTAGATACCTATATTTACCTGTTTTATGTCTATCGTATAGTTGTGTGTATTTAGTATGGTAAAATTTTGCTATTTAGTCTTTTGATTTGTCTATTATTAAATATAATTAGATAGTCATGTATAAGTAGTACTAACAGTAAAATATGGAAGGATATTTTTTTCTGCTGCAGTGGGCATTAGCAGATATTCTTAATGTGCATTGTCCTAAACACAGCTCAAAACGGTGGGTTTAGTCTTAGATTATCTTGAACCCTGAGAACTTACGTTGTTGGTGATCACTTTTTTTGGTTGGTTTACATATATATGGTTTTTCATGAATGACATTTTGGACCTTTATAATATCCTCAGGATTGGTCTCTTGAACTCGAAGAAGTTTTTTCACTTGAAAGGGAAGGAGAATTGGATAGGACTGCTCCTCTGGCATGGTAAGTTGCAATTAATTTGCAGAAATTAAAGAGAAAACACTTTTGCAGTTAATTTGATGTGTTATATTCTACTCCAACTGCTGTGAAAATTCTCCACTCTGCAGGTTCTTGGTTGACTCATTTTGTGGGAATACTTAGCCAAGGACGGAGAATAGCGCATCCTGAAGCACCAGCAACTGGCTATATAGTTCTCTCACTCTCCCACTGTTTGTGTGTGTGTGTGTGTGTGTTCATGTACACATGTATGTGTGTGTGTTTGTGTTCAGGTGTATCTGCACTGCAAGACTAATTAACTTTTTAAGAATCTTTCAAAATAGTTTGCCAAGGGGATATACTTTGGTGACCTTGTCAGTAAAAGTGCTTGGTATTGCTACACTGATAAGAAAAATCCTGTGGGCCTAATGCTTTTTAGTGAAGTAGCGTTGGGAGAGGTCTACACGGTCAAGAATGCAGAAGTGAGTTCACTTCCATTTTACATGTGTATCCTAATTCTTGATGTTTCCCTGCATTGTTATGTGAGTCTATTGGGTGGTTTTTTTTTTTTTTTTTTTTTTATTGTGTCACATTTGTCTGTTCAGATATCACACACTCATTTATTGTGTTCCTATAACAATTATAACTTATGTATGCTGCTACATCATTTTGTGTGTAATCCTGTATTATAATGGACACATTTTATTTAATCATAAGTTTGGTGCAGTATAATGTGTAGCGTGTGGGAGAAATAATTTCTAATGCATGTGTTTCCATACTAGTTCTTCTTCATAGGAATTTCTTTCCGCTCTGTGATTCAATATGTGGATAAACCTCAGAAAGATGTGGTTCGTTCTGAACCATGAAAAGGTTAGAAATGTGTTGATGACAGACCAAGGTGCTAGAAATGATTGATATGTGAGTGAGACAGAAGCATTATATGGATGTTTTGAGGATTTTTTATTTTTTTTAATATAAAATGCTCATTTAGTTGTAATTACAATTGTAATCACGATCGATTTGAGGTTTCATGAAGTAAGCCAACCTCAATTGTTCAAATATTATATTTGGGGGCTTGAGCAAACTAAGCATAAAATGTACTTGACCTTTGTAATTCATTGGCATCTTTTTTCTGAAACTTATAATACCCATTACAAGTTTAATTGGATTACGAAGGTCAAGCTAATGCTTATTCATTGGCTGCTAGACAAAAACATTGAGATTCAAGATTAATTTGCTGATTTTCTTTTATTTAAACATATTCTCTGCACTGATCTTTATTGTTCAACATACTTGCTGCCAAGATTAATCGCTTCACAGTTTATGTACTTGAAGATTAACCAAAATGTCTACTGAAAGTCTGATTTATTTTATTTTATTTTCAAGTTTTGGCAGATATTAATTTGCATCTTTTGAAATATGTCCAATGGGTTAACTGAACAATTTTGAATCTTTTTGCCCTTCATGGATAAAACTGTCTATTTGTTTTCTTTTTCAAACTATATTTTGTTGAATAATTACAGTTTAACAATTCCTCCTATAAAACTACTTTCATTCCTTTCTTCTTCCAATCACTCAATTTTCACAACATTGATCTTATCCATCTAATTATAGTAAAACTGTGTATTTTATTCAGACTATTAAGATTTTAATAAGGTGTATATCAACTGATTTTAAAAGAAAATATTTAAAGTTTTGTCATGCTTGAAATTGTAATTCACTAAGCTTTTCTCTCAAATTTTGCTATAAATTGTTACTTTTCATGCTAAAGAGATTAAATTTTCATTCTAAATATCAGTCTTCAACTTCATATAATAGTTACACAGTCCAAGGGTTTACAAATCTTAAATTAAATGGTGAGTGAGAGAATGTTCCTCTAAATTAAAATACTCTCAAAAAATTTCCAAATCTTGAAAATAAAGCATAAAAACACATGTCCTCTCACACCATCCTTATAATTACAAAAAACCTATGTGTTCTTTCATACCATCCTTATAATCACAAAAAATCCCAAAAACTTCAATTTTATTGTATGGTACCATATGATACCATATCAGGCTTCTTTCCTTTTCGTAATTATTAACTTCGTATCAATTTGCAACATCACCATGCATGTCCCACATGTCCCATGTGCATCTACCAACCCATTTTTATTATCACAAATTAATAATAACACTTTTTTCTTTAATTTTGAATTGAATATTCATTTCAAATAATTGATATATATATATATATATATACACACACGTATTCAAAATGATTTATTTAATTGAGAAAGAGAGACAAAATTTGGTAAGGGAAAGTTGTTTAGCGAAAGAAAAGAAAGGGACAAGAAGAATAATGATAAAAGGTAGTTGGTTTTGTTAAGTAGAGATTTGATAGAGGCATTAGATTCTTTCGTGGCCCATCACCATCCCCAATTTCATTTATTTTCTTCCTCCTAAATTTATCTACCTTTACTTTTTCCTTCGTCATTTACTTTCAATCATGGTTATCAAATCGTATATCGTATCGTATATCGAAAACTTAATTTTTTGAATCGTATATCGCGTATCGTATCGTATCGTAAGATACGTCTTTTTCAAAAAAAATAATAAAATAATCAAAATTTTCTAAAAATTAATATAATCCCCAAGATTAATTAAAGAATTTTGTGGTATTATTATTATTATTATGTAAAATGGGCAATACATATTCCTCTTTACTTTCTTCATGCAAAATAGGTAAATTTGGACAAGTTTTAGTTAATCGGGTTAGGTGACCCGGTTTCGACCCGATTTTTTTTTGGACATTTGACCCAAATTAATAAAATCGTATCGATTTATATCGATATTTTTAAGGATACGAACGGATACGTATCTTATCGTAGGATACATATCAACGTATCGAATGGTTTAGGATACACCCTCTGATACGTATCGTTGGTGACTTGTATCGAATCGTATCGTATAATACGTATCGGGTATCGTAGGACACTAACAACTATGCTTTCAATTAAACAAATACGCCTAATTCTCTATTGTAACCCGCTTGGGTTTTGGGTCCACTGCTGCTAACGCCAGCACACAACATACCTTTCAGGCACGAGGCATCCGCACTCCTCTTTAATATTTCTTTTATAATTCAAAAAACACACACACACCCGTTAATTCTCTTCTTTCTCTTTAAAATTCTTTCTCTCCAACGGCTCTTTCTGATCTTTGGGT